GTGTTTCATTATCTCATTTTTGTTTTTAGAAATTTCTTCTTGCAAAGATGTATTCATTAAAACAAGGTCAGTCTACATGGAAAAATCTGATTTCTTAACCGTTTTGACATTTTCTTGTTTCCTGGAAAACATGCCTACACAATCTTWTGCCAAATGAACTAAAATATTTCTGTTTYTYAAGTTATCGTGYAAACATGGCGTACACTTTTGCAATAGACAGCAAAGTAACASACATCTACTGTCATTTGACAAATGACATCTGTGAAGGTGGTGGATGGACGCTGACCATGAAGATTGATGATTCAGCAACAGTGAGTATCTAAGTAGTTTGTCCGGCCCCTAACTCTCTTACTTCCTGTTCATAACTTTTCCTCCGCAGTTTCAATACTCCGCTGCGATTTGGAACAATAAGCAGTCCCACAATCTGACAGCTGGTCAAACCGGTTTTGATAACTTCCAAACCAAGATGCCAAGTTACTGGGCGATGCCTTTCGACAAACTGTGCGTTGGTTTCAAAGTGAGTAATGTCCTTAAATGGATTGTTATCCCATATAAGGCTTCATCTCTCTATGACGTCATTGCCGATGGACAATATCGACAAACAAGCATCACAAAAGCTACGTGGATGTCTTTGATTGGTGGAGCCTCAMTGCAGCCAAACTGTAACCAACAAGGGTTTAATACTTATGGTTACACGCGTATTGGAATCAGATCAAACCAAGAAAATGATTGCTATASCTGTGATAGTGCTTTGGGTTTAGGAATTAATCGACACTATTCCTGTGGGAACTACTGTGGAAGCACACAYTGTAGTAATTCAGCGAAACAAGTAGTAGCTTTCGGATACCTATTGATCCAATGAACCCCAAGGGTCCACAGTTCTATGAGGATATGCTAATAGAGTGAAGTCAGTAAGAACCCGCTAAACAAAACTTGACTATTAAAGTGTGATAGTCAAATAGACACAATAGAAAACAATCCAATAAGAGAGTACTAAGGTGTAATGGTATAATATAACTATATATAACTTTTCATTATTTCTATTTGATGTTTTAAGGAAATATATGCTTCTTGTTTTTGTTTTTTTTTTAATTCACTCTACCTCATGAAGGAGTGTTTTATCTGCGTTATCAGTTCGATTCCATAAAGAAGATAAATTGATGCAAATATGAAGAAAGCTACAAACAGTTATGCTTCTCTTTGATACTCCAGTCATTCGGATTAAGAAATGATGACTGATCTAGGAAGGCGTAGTATCTCAATTATCGTASGCCTTAAGCAGTTATTATCCGCCCGGGACGTGGACGCTGACTTCATTTTCCCAAGGTTCATATATACTACTGATTTAGCGCTATTGGCGAGCACTTAGTATTTTTGTGTTTACATTCAAGATAGTGAGGTCATTACAGTTAGAGTCCCGTGAAACAAAAACTGTTAAAGCGTGAAAAGAATGGAATTAGAGCATATTCAGGTGTATTTCACCATTTCGTTTTTGTTTGTTTGTTTGTTAGTTGTTTTTTTACTTTATTGTACATCTCAGAAATTGTTTTTTTTTAAGTAAAGTAAATAAACTCAAATATAAGAACATTGAGTAACATTTTAGTACGTTGCATTTTGCTATGCCATTTATCATTTGAAAACAAAAATCCGATGCACAAATTAAAATAAACTTATTATATTATTAATATTATTTATTCAGTAAATTTCGCCATGAAAAATACTACAATATTAATAGAAAATATGATATGATATTCTTTGAAATAATTCATTATTGTTCGTTATCATGTAGCGATAAACAGCAAAACTTGTCATAAAACACTAAAGAATATTGTGTATTATCCTATATTATACCATAAGAAACAAGGGCATAATTCTGCCCTTACTTTGAACTTCAGATTTATAAGTGCCCGCACTGTATCACTAAAATATTATGTATTTTTTACAAGTAGCGTTTGAGGCTCGTAAAAAAACTACTATAAAATGTATTTTTTTTTTACCATATATGTAGATATTATTCTCAGCATATATACTGTCATACGTTCCCTTTATAAAAATATCATTTGAAATGCTACTTATAAATATCTTTGGACTGCAAACGCAAAAAGCTTGCACAGTAGTATAGGTAATAGCATGTTTTGTAGTGGTTTTGGGATAAATACCACGCGTGATATTTCAAAATTGTCAAACAAAATTTGTGACAAATTTTGAAATATCACTAGTGGTATTTATCCCAAATTCCACGTACAAAACATGCTATTATTTGTTTATAAAATGTTTGAATAAAATTGTACAATTTGAAGGATAAATATCACTCCTCTAAGCCAATTTAATTGCACAATTTTATTCAACCATATAAWAAATAACGTTGTTTTCTATTGTCTAATCGACACTAAAAGCACTGGTTAGCAATACTTCATGCTTTGAGTGTTTGCACTGTGCTATATTCATAAAAGTAGTTAAAAATCTATAAATTTATTATTTGTGATGMTCGAGCATTAGCTAGTCTAGATCCTATGACCTGTAACTGTTGGTCAAACTCGGTATTTTCCTCTCTCGGCTTCAATAATAGAAGGAGAAAAGGAAGAGTCCCAGAGAATATAATCAAACCTCCAAATAAATAAAACGTAGGGATGTACGAGTTGAAGGCATCGGCAACAAAACCTAGAAAAATACCAAAATAATCACAGTTATTATAAGGAGTGGTTTCTTTTCTTTCTGATGCTGTTTCGAGCGCCATCTTGAAAGGTAGCCGCGCCTTTGCCTCAAAAAGTGATTCGTATTCGCAGCAGTTTTAAATAGAGTCTTTTTCATCCGTCTGTGAAATAGGAATTGTACTATTAAAYACTATTATCCCCTATTAGCTCCCAATAGTTTAATTTATGACATGCGACAAACTAATTAGGCAAACACGGTTTTGATTTTGCCTTTTGGTAGCCTACTACACCCCATTAGTATAAACATATTAATGGTCTATCACTCATACTGCGCTGTGATTGGCTACTCTACTAATGGTCTATCACTCATACTGCGCTGTGATTGGCTACTCTACTAATGGTCTAATTTGTGATAGACCACTCGCGGGAAAATCAAAATAAACAAATTCTAAATTCTAAATTATTTTAAGGATATTTCAATTTGTTTTCATTATTTGACCGATTAGTATGTTTATACTAAAACAATAAGACCTCTCGGCCTCGTGGACTACGAGCTATTATACAACTTTTCAGTAAAATCAGGCGTTTTGATTGGTTGGCTTTCGTGTGTTATCAAAGTATAGATACACGGATTACGTCAAAACTAATTGTTTGTTGTATAAAACAGATAGATCTCATTTTTCCGTGCGTGTGCACTCTAATAGATACACAGATGACGTCAAAATGTAGTGAGAACAACAGTCACGCACTCGACTGCGTCTCGTGCATACTTTTTTGTTCTCACTACATTTTGACGTCATCTGTGTATCTATTAGAGTGCACACGCACGGAAAAATGAGATCTATTTGTTAAATAGCCCATTCGGCCTCGCAGACTCGGCCTCATGGGCTATTGGCTCATAGTCCACTCGACCTCGAGGTCTAATTGTTAAATAGTCACTATTAAACACTGACTAGTGGTAATTGTTTCACAGACGGATGAAAATGACTCTATTGTTTTCCCAATTCAAKAAAACTAAGACGAAGCGCTATCAAAAAGCATCAGTGTGAATGAAATCGTAAATATATAAATAATGTATATATAGCAAAGTTTGGAGACTCTTACCGGCGATAGGAGTTCCAGAAAGAAGCCCAAATGACGTCACCACATAACACATGGTCAAGCCRAAGTAGCTCTTCTTTCGTTCTTTAAAACACGTCAGGAGAAAATTGTATTGAGTTGTAACAAACATACCATTTCCAATAGCATAGAAAAATATACAAAGAATGAAATGGAAGTACGTTTTGGCCAACGTGAAGAATATGAGCGAGAGACCGATGATGTATGAGCCAAGTTGAATGCAATGAAGTGGATTAAGCCATTTCTTGTCGACAATTTTTCCAATAACAATTCGTGATATTGTTGAACAGGCGCCAGAGACGATATAAAGTAAGGATGATTTKGATGGAGGTATGTTTCGGTCTTTTGCAAATGTTACCTGTTTGAATAACAAATTGACTTAGATATATACGCATTATAACAAAYACCTTCTCACGCGCTTATTGGTTTATTAGAGTGCTTTCTTGAAAGAAAGGAATTATTTTCGCTAATTTTTAGACTGAAAATGTGGTAAAAAACAAATCGCACAAGTTTTTTTTTTTCGTTATTGTCCTCGTATTGAACWTATTAAACTTTTCTGCAAGCAAAGCGCTGTCGTTGAGGTCCACTTGAGTTTTGAACATTTTGACGTCAATTAGAGGACAAACAACTCAAAAAACAGTGCGCAAATTGCAAATGTACAATAATTCATGATATTAGCCTGATTTGAGAGAAGCGTAGGACCCAGGCCCCGTCTGAAAATCAGGCTATCATGATATTTGTGTTTCAACTGTTCATGTAATTGGTAAATTTCCTCTTATATTGCCCATTATAAGCACCACAAACATTCTTTTTATTTCTTTGTTGCTGTTGATGTTGTTGTTGTTGTTGAGGTTGTTGTATTTTTGCATGTTTTTTTTTTCTGTGAACTAATAGCATGGGATTACTATAGAATAGCAATTACAAATTATATATTATTATCTGACAACAACTTACCAAGTGTACCAGGGGTACAAGCAAACACAAAAAGTTTAAGAAGATTGATATTGTAGCAATAGTATATTTTGGACTTTTCCATATAGAACAGTCAAAGTTTCGTCCATGTTGCTTTGTCGTCGAATGTTCACCTTCAGAACTAATGTGATGTTCTACTTTCTCATTTTCCACATTTGGATCAAATGAAAAACAAGCCAAAGCAGAAAGCACCAAAACACCAGACATGACTTGTAATGCAGTACGCCATCCCAGAAGATCAACAAGTGCTTGCATCAAAGGAGAGAGTGCAAGAACTCCAACGCTCCCCCCTGAGGTTGTAATTCCACAAGCTGTTCCAAAATGCCTTTTGAAATATTTTTGAAGAATTTTTGTTGTTGAACATAAAAGAAGGTTTGCGCAGATCCCATACAAAGCACCATACGTAATAAACAGTATTGAAATCTTCTTTGCAAATGAGCTTGCAAGTACTAGACCAGCCACTGTAAAACCAATRAAGACACCAACAGGCCTCTCTCCAAAGATAGCAATGATCTTTACAGATAAGGGACCACAACCGAAGGACAATGCCATTGATAAAGAACCAATCCATGCTTTCAATTGAAAAATTCACAAACATACATCAATACAAAAAAAATAATAAATAATAATTAGAAATAATAATAATACAAACAATAATAAATCATGAGAACATGTGATTGCGACTCAGTGATGACTAAACRAAGAAATCGGTCTGTATCATAACATCGCACATGTATACAGAATAACTGATTACTATTCTTATAATGATACCATTTTATTATATTAACTGCAATAAAATACCAGGAAATTTCTAGTGCAAAAAAAAGTGATTAATCTTTCACATGTAGAAAATACTATTTACCATGAATACTCTACAAAAGCCTACTTCTTGCCTTATAACGATTCTCAGTGTTTATCAACAAACTCATTCTTATGTTAAAATGTGCMAACCATGATCAGAGTGGCTTTTCACAAGTTCCTTTGTTCTAACAGCCAATCGTCTTCTGTTTGGCACACGAATAACAAAGGCTTATGTCACATTGAGTATTGAGCTATAAATAAAAAGTTGAGTTTTTAAACAGAACAATGCATGGGCACTTGGAGATGCAAATTGCTTCAATCACTTGTGAGATATCAATGGAACACTCAAATATAACATTCGTATCTCCACGCACCAATAAAATATCCCCTATGTTTTTTTTATTATTATATTATTAAATTAATAACATCACATCCTACCTGTTACACCTTTACTTGTATTAAATTCCTTCATGAAGACTGGTAGCAGAACCCCATAAGCAAGTGCCAGACCAAAAATGATAAAATTTATCGAAAAGCAACAAAAACAAACAAGCCATGCCCATGGACCATCGCGGGGGTGAGGCAATGCTTTCCTACTACACAGCATCCTTGTGTTGAACTTGAAAATAAACAGAAGCTACTATCAGACCAATATCAATTATAAATGACTAAAGTTTTATAACATTTCCAGCTGTAAGATTGTAATTTATTCATTGACAAGCTGACTGAGTGATACACTCACTATAGAATCATTCCTTCTGTGAAATAGAAATTGTACTATTAAATACTATTATCCCCTATTCAGCTCCCAATACTTTGACATGCGACAAACTAATTAGGCAAACATGGTTTTGATTTTGCCTTTGGAAGCCTTCTACACCCTAATAGTTACTATTAAACACTGACTTAGTAGTAATTGTTTCACAGACGGATGATAATAACTCTAATCATAATACAACAGCTTAAATGATTGATTCATTTACTTAGCACTACACTATATCAGTTTATTGTGCAATGTTTAATGACATTAGCTCCTTTCTCCTATAATACAACAAATTATATGAATAAATGAACCAATAAAAAAGGATTGTATAACTTAAATCTGACCTTTCATTATAGTCAGTCGTCAGCGAGGCGACGTGTTACTTTGCATACATGGGGCTCTCAATAAACTGAAATAATCGAATAAAAACCTAATATTTAATATACCTAAATAAGTGCATCAGTTCTTTGATTCTAAACCCACGTAGAAGTAGCTTTGGAGTTTTTCTAAAACGATTTCTTGACTACCTCGGAATGAACAAATTTTATTGACTACTTGATACAGACGAAGGAACAACCAGCACRAAATGACCTCGTCTCATGAACCTTAAATTTACTCTTAAATACATATTTGCATCTTTTATGCTACAGTGTCTTAATTCTAAGGATGATAAATTTGATGATAAATTCGATAATTTCACAATGACCGACACTGCACTTATATGGACTTTGTACTTCCTCTTAGAATCGAGTTTGAATATCACGTCCAAACATCGCCATAAACTTACCTTAACCAAACAACATACTGTTAACACATTATAAAGAAAGACAACTGGTTAGAATGCCATTGGGCAAAGTTTAAACACTTCTTCATAGTCTGAAGTTTTGAAGATCATCTGACCGGACAAACAAGGTCTATAAACAAAACAAAAAAAGACAGGAAACCCAATAAATAATAAAATTTTCTTTTGACCAGAAGATTATTAATGCATTATTAATAAATTTCCAAAGAACATGATTAAATTATCTAGTAACTTGAAAATAAAACATTGAAAGAGCCATGTCCGGTCAAGGCAAGGAGTTTCTAAATTTTGGAACGTCATTCGTTTTCGCACAGGCAGCCCAAGCTCATATTGTTATATGATTGATCTTATGTGTGATCTTAAACGGTCAAAATTAAAATTCAATAAAATTTGTGTTTTTATGAATAAAAATGACTCGCCTTGATAACTTGTTGCGTCTTTTCAATTTTTTTTTTTTTTTTTGTTTTGTTTGTTTTTAAACAAAAGACTCATATAAAGACGGATATAATGAGCTTGGGTTGCCTGTGGTTTTATGGACAGGATGTCAGCACTTGTCGGCTTTTCTGTAGCCTGTGTTACATCCGGAATATTGGATGTAGCACAGGCTAGCTTTTCTGGGTCTTATAGAGAAAATCGAATTCAATAAAGGGTGGAAAAGGTAGATAATATTGACTACGGTACAAAAATTAAGAAAAAAGATACTTTTGATGCCAACTTCGTATGCATGCAAGTGAACCAATTTAGCACATCATATTGTATGAATTTAAATGCATTTTATCGAGGTGTCCAACTTTTATTGATTTTTTGTTTTTCTCTATGAGACCTTCAGAGAAAAGCCGTCAAGTGCTGAGCTTGGACTACCTGTGGTTTATATACAACACTGATCATTTTGAATTTTAATGCTAATTTTAGTCATCTCAATTTGTACTTAATTCTACTCAGGTTCGCGGTGCAAGAATGGGGATAATCTTCGTGAAGGTACCAAAGTATTCCCAGGTGGGTGTAAATCAAATATGTATTACCTACTCTCTCCCAAGCACTAAACTCGCCATTTTTGTTAATTTTTAATAGTTTAAAAAGCTGTAGGTTGGCTTCTAATTGTTGATGGACGAAAATGATCACCCTTAATGGCACGAGCAAGTATTACGGAATACGTTTAAGCCTAAATTAGGTACATTTTTTTTTTTACCCCTAAACATCATCATTCCTGTTACGCCTAGGTGGCATGTAGGGCCGCTACTAAACCGGGCCCCTAAATTGTACGGTGAGAGCCACCTTTGATATTTTCAATGCACGATTCGGGGCGGCAAGAGGGTCTCAATAGGGTTAACCGTGAGCCGTGAAACGGCTAAAAAATTAGCCGTGAATCGTAAAAATGAGAAAAATTAGCCGTGAAACGGCTGAAAAATTAGCCGTGAATCGTAAAAATGAGAAAAATTAGCCGTGAAACGGCTGAAAAATTAGCCGTGAGTCGTGGAAATGTGAAAAACATTAGCCGTGAGGCGTGAAAAAGCCAAATTTTTAGCCGTGAGTCTTGATGCGGACCCCCCCATTGAGACCCTCCGGCAAATGTGGCAACGAAAACATTTTGTACAAGAAAGCCACAGTAGTAGTTGTTCAGGGTCCTAGTACATTTTTTATAGCCTAAATGTGTATGTAAAAGACGGGTTGATCTTTTTTGGGGGGAGAAACTGATTCGTTTTTTACAAAGGATAAAGGTGCACATTCTCTATTGTCATTCTAATGAGCAATGGGACTCATTCCCATCATATCATCATATCATCGATTCTTGATTAGTTATATAACCTGGAGCTACAACCTGGACTGTCCACAAGTCGACCACATTTGTTATTTACAATTTGTTTAATCTTTTCTTTTTTTTTTCTGACGTGGTTCTAAGCCATTCAGTATTGGTTAGCTTAAATGAAGTGGTTAAAGCGATAATTGCGAGAGTTTTTCCATGGAATATAGTGTTTATGGAATATATCAKAAACGACTGTTTAGATCAACAAAAWAAATGACAGTTATTTGATTTTACACCATGCTATTAGGATAAGAAAAATTGTAGATTAAAAAGTGTAATTAGTTGGGCCATCATACGCAGTCTTCTTAGTTGAAGTAGTTACATGTATGCTGGTGYACTATGCATTAAARGCACTTTGGTGCCACACTCCATGTCGTCCTCTTGACTCAAGTCCTTGYAGAGAAGACGTCGAAAACCAGTAAAAGCTGTCCGTTGTATTGAGAACTCTGATAAGGCTGAGAAAGATTTCCACTTATATATAAATTCCCTAATATAAATTCACTGCATTTTTTATGAAGACTTACCGAGACTGAAATTAAATTTGTTCGTGTTCCCACTGAAGTGTTTTTTTCCTCCTTTGGGCATGTACTATCACCTTTTAATGA